TTTTTCACCTGAAACTTGTCCCAAAAATGCATCTAACAGGATCTAAGAGTTATAATAGAAGAGTCACAACTAGGAGAGAATATATATCAATCTGCTCAGCTGAACTAACTGCACTTCCACTGGAGTTCAATCAAGTGAAAAAAAAAAACAGCAACCGAGTCCATCATCTATTTTATTGCTTCAGAAAACTTGTTAATTGTAATTAAGAAACAGTAAATTCATAACTCTGGGATACCTTCAAGGAACTAGACAGAGACACAGAGGCACACAAAACAGTCTGCTTCTTTTTTGTCACATTCTTTATGAAACAGTGGCTCCTATCTAACCACTGCTCTGAGCTCTGGCAGGAGTTACATCAGACTCAGAGGCTACAAAACAGATGTAACTCTTGTTAAGTCTGCTCAATTTCCCTACCAGTTCCGTTTGGAGAAATAGTTCTAGTTCACAGTCTTGTTCAGAATAAAGAAAATTATTAGTTTATCCACAAACCAGCTTATAGTCACTGAGGTAGGTACAGGTTGTGTTGAACTACATTAGCTCTCAGATAATGACCCAAGATACTTCAGGCTGCAGTGCCCTAACAGCACAGAGCTGGACACTGCCTGCAAGAGGCCAGTGAGGGCTCCAACCACACACAACATTAAGGTAAAAATCAAACAGCTCCAAGGATGGGATCATCCCCTTTGTCTTAACACAGTGGGCTCAAAATTGAAGTTCAGGAGCTGCTTGAAGAGCTTTTTGCTCGTCCACAATGTGTGGACAGTGGGAGCAGTAATAGGAGCCACATAACAGCCACTTCAACTGCTCCATTTCAGTCCCTGCTTCACATGAATCACAGCCGTAGGTAAGCAGATGGACAGAAAACAGCCCCAGCTTTAGAGCAGCAGCAGCAGAACTGAGCATGCAAGCTACAGCTACAATAAAGACACAAGGACTCTAATGGAGCACTTTGCCTGCCTCATTCTGACCATCTGCACCTCTTCATGCAATTTAATAAGTAAATTTTGGGAGAGCTGCAGATTTTTTGCAGTATGTAACAACAGAGCATATTTCTATGTTGTCTGCTAACAGATAAAGGGGTTTTTATATTTACAGTTAATAAACATAAATCGAGCATCAATTGGAACTGCAAAGGGCTTAAGTAGGACACATAAAATAGTTACACAAACAAAATAAATTCAAGAAATACCAACACACGTACTAGAAGCGCCGATTATTCTCTATTCCTGTGATTTACTGCTGTCAAACCAGACATAAAAACTTTAAAAATATGCTCAATCCACACAAATAGTGCAGAACACCGTGTATTTATCCTCTGCATTTTGGTTTTCTTCGGACAGGCATTATGCCACTCAGACTGTACTGATGTACTTCCTAAATCATGAAAGCATTGGACTGTATTCTTACCCTAGAACCATCAGAGATGGCAGAATACATGTTTGCTTAACTCTCTGAATGCTGTCGACCGCACTAGTAAGTATATACCAATGGCTGAACCTATTCCACGCAGCTAAGACCAGGGGGCAGCAATACTGTCAAACGCAAACCAAAACAGGTTTATGTCTGACAAACCTGTAAGCAACCACAGCTCAGTTAGGTGAGAAATTAGCAGTTACAGTTATGGGAAAGTTACACAAATTAATCTAGGTTACATAATAAAAATAAAACACATAATTTTAAATGCAGTCATACAGTCGCTCTATTACCTGGTCAATTGCTATAAACAAAAGCACTGTTAAAATGTTGAACATAGGAAGTTTTCTACTAAGCCAGCATTAACTAGTTTTAATCCTATTTTCCATACCCAAGACTATCTGGAGAACATCATGATTAGTACTCTTTTCTTGCATACCAAATGCTTTGCTCACGCCAACACAGTCAACAAAACTAAAAAGAATCTATTAAATCCATCTCCTAGATACGCGCCGGCTCCTGCATAATTGACAAATACTTCATGAACTGAGTATATAATCCAAACCAACTCACTGCAACCCATGAAACAATAGCAAAAAGCTGTCTTCTTTCAGAGTCATTATGCTTGCAGCTTCAAACAAGTGTGGGGCAAGAGAAGAGCTATACTTTGCCTTGTTTTCAAGTCATTTGGAAGATGTTTCCTCCTAACTGCTGACCTAGTCCATAGGAAATCACACTGAAACCTCAAATAGGAAGCAGTGGACTGATATCCCATAGAAACCAGCTCTGGAAGTTTACCCACTTTCACACTCTTATTTCTTGACAGTGAAGCAGGATGAACATCTAAATGACTTTCATAATATGCAATAAAATAACCAAACCAGCAGTGAGGCTTCAATGTTGAGATGCTGTGACTATAATCACTCTGCTGCATTATTCTGCTCCTGTCCTTCCACCACCTATTTTGTTTTCATATTATTTTCCTCACTCCACATTTATCTCTTCATCCTTACCTCGTTTCTTAAACGAGGTCTCCCTTGGCAGGTTTCTGCAGTCAAGAGTTCTGCGCTGACTTGATCTAACGAGTGGCTGCTAACGCTCCCAAACGATTCCCTCTAAAAATCCCAACATTCACTTTTCTTTCCTACTGCAACAACCACCAACACCAAAAAATCCAAGACATACAACAGTAATATTTAAATTCAGACAACTGCTTTATCCACTAATCTTTAAGACGCCAGGGCAGGAAAGCTTTCAGTAACTAGCTCAGCACAAGAGCAAAGTCCCACAATTAAAAGACCAGATTACATGCATACCAATGCCTCTAGCTCCCTTGGATTTGGGCAGGCGGTACTGCCCTGTCTCTGATGCTCTTTCTCAAAGACAAAAAAAGAAAATAAAAAGGAAAAGAAAACAAAGGGAGGGAGGTGTATGTGGGTGATTTACCTCTTCCAGCAGCGTGACCGTATTTCTGCAGTTCTGCAACCGGGTGGTGAAGCTGGAGGTGGTCGGGGAGTTGTAATCCTCTGTAGTCTCGGCGATGAACTCCGACACGGTGATCTGGTCCGGCATGATCCTACCCCACCGGTAAAGCCCAGAAGGAGCCGAACACACAGATCCGGAGAAGGGGAAGCCAAGTTGGGGGGGGGGGGGGGGAGGTGGAGGGCAAAAAAAAAAATAAGGAAGGAGGAAAAAAAAAAAAAAAAGAAAAAAAAAAAGAGGGAAGATGTTAGCAGCCAGCAGAGACCCGCAGCATCAAAGCCGCGGAGCCGCAGAGAGAGGCTGAGGCTTCAGCCTCCACATCGAGCCTCTCACCCGGCCGCCCCCTCCTCCTCCCGGACAGGAGGTGAAGGGGGAAAGGCCCCCACACGGCACCGCTGCCCGCGCAGCCCGGCCCCGCCGGCGGGGAGAGCTCCCTCGGCTGCCTGCGGCCCCCCGACGGCTGCGGGGACGGGGCCGTCTCTGAGAAGCCCGGCCCCACCGCCGGCGCTGAGGGGAGGGCGGGAGAGGAGGAAGAGAAGGAGGGAGCGGCACCCGCCAGCCCCCACCCCACCGAGCTCAGCCCCTTTCCCCACCCGCCGCCGACCCCCCTCACGCCCCTCGCCTTAACCGCCGCTCCCGCCCGCCGCCAACTTGAGCACTAACTTGTGCGGGCTCCGGCTGCGCCCCCCGGCTGGGGGGAAGGAGGGGAAGGGCCGGGGCTGGCGGGGGCTTGGCCGGGGCTGGCAGGACTCCCGCCGCCGCTGACAGTCACCCGGTGACTGACACGCGCTACCCAACGCCCGCCCGCAGCCGTTACGTGAGGCCAACGAGGAAGTGCTCTGCGCATGCTCCAGCTGCCTCCCTCCCTCCCCCGGCCTCGCGCACGCCCCCGTCAGGCCCCTCTCCCCTCCCACCTCCCTCCGCGCTGCGGTGAGCGCCTCACGCTGCGGCTCTGTTTCTCTTTAGTTTTTCGTTTTCCTTTTATTTCATTGTTAAAAAGAGGTTTCTGCTGGAAGCGGCAAGGCCGGGGAGCGACGCGCTCCGGCTCTGTTCCCAGCTGTGAGACAGGGCTCCCCACGCCGGCAGCCGTGGGGCAGTCGCAAGGACCTGACGGCCGCTTTCAGCCGCGGGGAGCGGCGGCCGGCTCTGTGGTATTTGGTCTTACTTTGCCCTTGTTTAAGTCAATCTAGCCAGTGGAAAAGCCTCTGCTTGTGCTACAAGCTTCCTATGGCATAAAGCATGAAGATTTCATACAGCCAGTGCTGGCAGTCATCACTTTAAGCAACCTGACCATACAGATTTTACTCTCCTTAGGTAATTTTTAACAAGTTCTGCCATGTCTCAGCGACACCGCTGGAGCTGCTGTTACTGATACCTGTTACTAATTATGCTCCTGAGCTTGTCCAAAGAGAGGAAGAGGGTGGTACACCCCTACTGCCATGGCTGGGTTCCACGGCTCACCACAGCCCCTCACATGCCATGGCCGGGCTGCACGTCTCACCACAGCCCCTCACATGCAATGGCCGGCCTCAGGGCTCACCACAACCCTCACACACACATGGCCGGGCTCACCACAGCCCCTCACATGCAATGGCCGGCCTCAGGGCTCACCACAACCCTCACGCACCATGGCCAGGCTGCATGGCTCACCGCAGCCCCTCGCACAACAGCCACCACCTGAACCCTTCACCGCATCCCTGATGTCCTTTGTGCACTCACCAGCTGTATTTCCGAATAAACTAAAACACCATTTATCTGTCATTGCATCATGTAACTCTGGGAATTGATGGACAGCACTAATGAGGTTTTGGGTTGGTTTTTTTTTAAGCTTAGATTTTGGGGCCCATATGTGCCTTTCTAAAGAAGTGGAGGTCTCAGGAGACTCAAGTAATTATGGTCATCTGCTGTTTCTGTCTCATTTATTTACTCATACAATGTGTTTTCCTTTTCTGTGTTTGGGGTTCTCTCCACAGAAGCTGGGGAATTCAGGCATGGTAAATATTCTCAAATCTGAACAATTGGCAATGAGCAGTATTATTATGGATATGTTCATTCCAAAGGTTTTAATGTTCTCTATATAAGGACCAACTCCCATATTACAATGCGCTCAGGCCTTTACATGGTTTTCTATGTAATTCAAATAAAAAATGCCTGTGCAACTCAAAAAATAGTTGAAAACATCAACAGAAGGCTGTGATGTGTGTGATAAAAGGAGATACCTAATTGGTGTATACCCATAAAAAAATGATTTAAATGCAGTTCTGCCAGCAAAAAATATGACCAATACTCCTGAGAAATGGTCCTGCCTGAACATGTTTCCTTGATTTCATTGCCTTAGCAGAAGCCCTCCATATGGCCATGTGATTGCTGCTGTTGCTGCTTCACGTGATCCAGCTTTCCGGCAAAAAGGCTCCAGGCTCGTACAGATGATTGTTAAACATCATGAGACTCTGAAAGGTAGAGTAGGCAAGAGGAGGAGGGAGCCAAGAAAAGAACTGTGTGGGAGTTACACTGAAAAATGGATTTGAAAATGAAGCACTGAAGAAGCAACTGGAGGGGTAGGAAGAAATTCAATTGAGGATCATGTTCATAAGAGCAGTGGAGGAGGAAGAGAGATCAAGAGGATAAAAATGGCTGGTGGCATCAAAAGTAGTATGGAAAGGAGAGTGAAGAATTGCCTTGGGGTTTGGGCCAGGAAAGAGCTGTTAGCATCAGAAAGAGCTGTTTCAGTATACCTCGCTTGCATGGAAAGCGGATGGGTGAGGGGCTGGACGCAGCCCGAGGGCCACACAGGGTCTCTGTGATCACCCCTGCTAATTTCCTGTAGGACATCGATCATGGGTTGTCAACACAGCCGTTCCTGAGCCAGACCTACGGTCTGAGGGTCAGCTTCAGGGTGTTCATGTTAGGAGGAGTCCTGATCCTGCTCTAGCAGATTTCAAGTGAAGATAAATCCATCACACTGATGGGTAAACTGGTTTAATTAGTTGGGTACTCTCACTGTTAAAATAGAATTGTTCCTCTTCAGACTGAGGTTAGTGAACTTGAACAGTAGTCTTTGGACTGTAAAATAACTTCGTCTGCTATCCTAACCAAATTCTACCCCAGAGAGTGTGGACACAAAGCTGGACATATTGCTACAGACATAATTTCTTTAATACTCTTTAGAGAAAATGAAAACTGCAGAATTAAGGAGCAGCATGTTCAACAAAGAAAGGCAGGAGGCAGGCCAGGGAAACGGGAGCAGTGAAGAGTGACAGAAATGAAGGCACAGCAGAGAGTAGCAGTAGCTGAGCTTCTGTGTTTCCTCCTCAGGAAAAAAAAAAATTACCTTTAAAACTAAAATACATAAAAGTAGAAAGAATATGGAAGAATACTGGGAAATCAGAGAACAGCACAAGGCCTAAAGATGAAAAGGAAGATCAATAGCTACTGATCATAATTGCTCATTAGTCTGGTCTTTTGGCAATTCTGAAATTGTTAACTCTATTAAAGAGAATATAGTCCTCAGTTTTGCTGCTTTGAGGCAGCATTTCCTCTTCCCCTATACAAATGCTAGTAGAGAAAATAGCCCCGTGGGCATGACTTCTTTAGGCTTGAATTATCTTCACTTAAACTCACTGGAAGCAAAATTAGTTAATTAATATGCTGTTAATAAAAGATAAAATGTGCTTGCATTTAAACTAGTTAGATTATATAAGTGTTTCAGGTAGCTTTTAGTGGATTTCAGATTTAACCATGTTTCCTGTTTTGAATTGCCATCAGTATCTGAGATTCACTTCTAAATTTGCAAGATTCACCTCTCTATAAATTGTCACTAACTGAAATCACTGTTTCACTTCACAAATGTCAAAGAATAATCAGCAGAGTGTGAAAGTTATATTTCACGGCGTCTGCTCTAACGCTATCTTAGTCTGTGCTAGATCCTGGGGGAGGCTGTGTCGCAGCCTATTTCTCGTGTAAGGCTTGCCAATAGAAGTTATGCTTGTCTCACTCCTCTTGGTATTCTGATTGTGAAATGCATTTTCCTGTCCATCCTGGGCCAAGCTAGAGCGGGTGAGCATCATGCAAACACCTCTGGAAAGCATACTCCTTGCTGATGATACATTGCAGTCAAGGAAGTTAGGAAGTTTTGCTGTCTTGCCATCCCACCCAGTGATTCATTCTACAAATCCATTTTATTCCCTGGCCTTTTTTACTGTGATTGCCAACAGAAGAGTTAATTACAGAGAACTGATATTTCTGCAGTAATGATAGTCACCATGCTTAAGGAGAGGCTAAGGAGCATAGCAACAACAAGCACAAACTATTAACACAGGTGTTTTGCAACAGGCTGAATAGCAACTATGGTATTTTTCATTTTATAGTACTCTAGTCATATTTAGATTGAGATCATCAGTCATTCACAAGAGCTGAGCAGTAGTCATCAGGTGATGATGACTATTGTCGTTGTTGCAAACTTTCAAACATTACAGATCCGTGCCAGAGGTGAAGAGCTACACAGCACTTGCATAGCTCTTTATGTCATCAGTGCAATTAACTGTTTAACCCATGCAACGGTGAGGTAGAGAACAGAAAGGTTATATTTCCACTATAAAGGAGACAGATACAGGAGGCTGTGGCCCTGCGACCAAAAGCAGGGCTGTATGGTTGGCTGTCTAGCTTTAGTAGTGCCGAGTCAGCTCTTCAGGGTATCAACACCTCAGCTGTGCTGGAGCTGGCGCCGGATCTCCCATAGGATACGATTACACTGCCTGCAGAGAGCAGCCCGGGAGCCACCCCCAGGGCCACGCTTCCCTGCTTCATAGATAGCGAGCTCACAGATACAAACTCAGGTGTGGCTGCTGCTTGGTTTCTGGAAACAAGATTGACCCAGGTCCCTGGCTGTGCACCAAATATGCTGTCAAGCATGCTCAGACAAGCTGCCTTCAGGGCCATTTACAACCTGTCAGTGTGGTGGGGAAATGAGTTGTTAGCTGAAGAAGGAAATCACTGTGCACATGGCTACTGTGCAGATGACTCCTCTTGATTAGTACAGACACAATCATGCCAGGATCTCACATGTCAAATTTGGGGTTTTTTTCTTTCCCAAGAATGATCGAAATGTTGCCACTTTGCAAATATGGGTTTACACCAATGCTCATTTCTTTACTTTCAAGGTTCCCATTGTGGCTATTACTGCTGATAAAAGCATCTGCTGATCAGACATTAGAGTTTAATTAAAACGTCAGGTCATTGAAAGACACATGCTTTTGATAGTAAACTATATAGTTGTTCTTTTTATGCTCTTTAGCATCTTCACAAACACAGTATCACCAGCTCAGCAGCGAATAGCAACAGAACTAGTGGTGTGCTAAAACTCATCAGGAAAATATCCTTAGGCTATGCTGCTTTACTGTACTGCTATTCTGAATAAATTTGTGGTTTGGTGTTGTATTCATACATGTCAGCTAAACACAGCAGTCAGCATTATTTCTCATACTTCCTATCCTAACTCGCTGTATGGGATCACTGTATGGTGTAAAGCAGCCATGGCATTTGATATCTGATAAAGCCGGCTTGAGATTCTCAGAGAAAACTTGTACATGGTTAATTGCTGTTGCTGCATTTTAATAATTCCATTTTCACATAACTTCTAATAAAATTGATGGAAAATACTTATTTAAATTTATGGCTGTAGAATATCCACAGATATTTCTGAACATCAACTCTTCTCATTTGAGTTGAATGTTGGGCTTAGAGGTTAAAAGGAGCTTCAAATCAACAAGAATCTCAGCAGGGTGAGTTTGGCTTTTGGTTTTTGGAGTGTCTTATGCTAAAACTCAGTAAACTTTTTTTGTTAACGGAACTCTCACAGTTTTGTTTTGAAAAACAAACCCACCCCATTTATATAAGGACATGTAACATCATCCCTTTGTACTTGAGCAGGAGACGTTTAGTTAGAAGTTTCATCTCAGGAAGAGAGTCCTCTCAGAGAACAGTCCCGTTGGCCACCTGAGCCATGTGTGAAATGTAACAGCTACATATTTTAACCTGCAGAATGTTTACACTTTTAATATCATATAAGTGCATGATATACTCACAGGAAATAGCAAAGCCTATTTTAAAAATTGAAGCCTACATCACACATTGACTGTTGCTAATTTGCTTCAAGGGAAGTTATATGGTAAACTGCAAAGTGTTTCTGCTTGAGAAAGAAGGCTGTTGGATTTGGCATTTGCAAACAAATCTTTGAAATGATTGTGTTATTGAGACAGAATAGTCAGGTAACTTTCCAGTCAAGGAAGAATGTTCTTATCTAAATTGTATCGCTGTACATGCAGAAACCCAAAATCCAGATCCAGCAAACATGCTGATTGCAATTCTGTGTTTTTAAGTGACAGCATTTACCAATATGGCTCATGAACCACATGAGCTGCATCAATAATTTGTGTTGCTGCTGTAACTGATTTGAATAGAAGGATCAGCTTATTTCAATTTTAATACTGGCATCTCTGAGCATTTGTCTTCTACTGGTATTTAAAATTAGGTAAGGAAACATAAGCAACTGCCTCAGAAACTACAGTATTAGTTTAAAAGCCTTTTAGCAGTAGCAATATTGGTTTAAACAAAAGGTTCTTTTTGCATTCTTTCAATAGTAATATGATAGCAAAAAAAGAACCCATTGTGTTCTCATTATAAAGGACATTTTGGTAACATTAAGATCTTGCATTTTTAACACTCTGTGTACCAAATGAAAAAGATTAAATCAAAACATCAGAAACGTTCCACTGAATTATATATTTTGCATCTTATCTACTTGAATGTTCCATGCAAGTAGCTTGGCAGAATGATAGGTGAGCTCAAATAGCCATCTCAAAGGACAGCTGAAAATAACAGCACTGAAAATGAAGTACAGCATTGAGTTACACAAGATTAAGCTGACTAATCTGCTGATTCAGTTTTGCCTTTGTTTTTTGGTTTTGTCATGCAGTATCAAGAGTCATTCAGACAAACACGCAATGGCATTCCCGGCTCACAGTAACAACAACAAGCAAGGGGCTGTTCCCCTGCAACCTCTGCATCCTCCAAAGAGAAAACCAGCAAAATGCTCACCAGCAGCAAGCATCAGCAAGCTCAGGGCAGGGAAGGCATGCTTTGGGTTTTGTTGTAGGTATGCTGAACTTTTTTTGTGAGAGATGCTCATTTATGAAATCTTACTTAAGGACATAGGAAGTAATACTGCATGTCAGTAGAGACCAGATTCAAATACAGCCCTTAAAACGTCTACAGAATATAAAACAGAGGAAGTTTAGATTGGATATAAGGAAGAAGTTCTTTACTGTAAGGATGGTGAGGCACTGGAATGGGTTGCCCAAGGAAGTTGTGAATGCTCCATCCCTGGTGGTGTTCAAGGCCAGGTTGGACAGAGCCTTGAGTGATATGGTTTAGCGTGAGGTGTCTCTGCCCCTGGCAGGGGGTTGGAACTAAAGGATCTTAAGGTCCTTTCCAACCCTAATTATTCTATGATTCTATATTGCCCATGGTGCAGGTGGGAGCCTGCTCATCACTTATGGAGACAGCTGTGCAAAGACTGCCAGCCCCACAGGGTTGCTCTGCCAGCAGTATCTACCATCACCATGTTGGTGAGGATGGGCACAGGGGAAATCTGTTCATTGTTACCTTGCATTCCTGACCCTGAGCAGATCCTGGGAGGCTTGCTAGAAAGCACGAGAGCAGGCCATGCAATGGGATTGGAAAGCACAAGATAAAGCCAATATATCATGAAGGGCTACTCTGACTGAAACAAGAGAAATAAGAGGCCTTCCAAAGCAGAATTCATAGGAGATGAATACTTTTTTTTTTTTTTAAATATGAGATATAGCAGTGACTAAAATCAGAGAATGATACTGCAGAAATGAACATGTTGCAGGGCAGCTGGCATAGCAGGCTCTCCAAAATAAAAAAAGAATGAAATAAAGCCTTAACCTGCACTGCAAACATTTCAATATTTTCTCTTTCCTTCTGGAAATGATACGGCTGTCTCATTATCCAGGCACTTCTCTAGTTCTACCTAAGCTGCTAAATGTGTGCTGATGGCAGCATGCATCTTGCCTGGAGGTTCATGCCAAAATGAACCTGGGAAACAGTTTAAGAGCAAAATAAAGGCTCTGTAGAGCTGGGATCATGTCTTTGAGCTGCCACTCATGGCTGTGACATGGCATTTGATCTCTGTGGGTTTCATTTCTCTATCTATGGAATGCAGACAATTACATGTATTTTTCTAGGTGAAAGCACACTGGGCTTTTCCAGCTGAGTAGTGCTACATCAGAAGTAAGTTTTTTTTATATGTTTTATAGTAAGAGTTTAGAAAAAGTAGCTGAAGGATGAAAAGGGCTCTCAGGCCAAACAATTTAATCAGCATTTTATTGGATAGAAAAAAAGGATTGGCAGGTAAAGGAAAGAGTTTCTTTCTACTAGTTGTTCATGATGTGAAAATCTATAGCAGAGAGATCTGGTTTTGTGAGGGTTTTTTCCTCCTCTGTATTATGAATTTATTAGCATTAAAACCATATTTAGTGAAAAAGAAGGGACTGAAGTCCCATCATGTTAAACAAACACACAGAAGTCATTTGTAGCTTTACACAAGCTTTTCTAAGACATGTGCAGGCGTTCACGTGTATGGGCCTACTGAGTTGAAGTTCAAAAGCTGGTTTACAGTGTTGACTGAGCATACTTAATTTCTTAATTCGCTAAATAGCATCTCATTAGGGAAATGCTGGAAATAAATCTGCAGATGTTGGGTGTTACAAAAAAATCCCTTGCAACCACTGAACTTATCAGCACATCTGTATTTCCCTTACATAAGCCTCTACTTTCAAGGATGCATCAGTTGGCCAGTCTTTAAATTTGAACTTAGCATAGGAAATTTTCAGTGCAGGAGTGATACCTCTTGGGTTTTGGTGGGGTCTTGGGTGCTTGTTTGTTTTAGTAAGGAGATAAATACGTTTAACAATACAGAAGACCTGAAATAATTTGAGGTATACCTGCTTTAGTGCTAAAAAGCTTTTCATTAAGCAAAAACTACTCAAATTTAAAATCCAGTTCTGAATGTAGACATTTAAAGTAGACATTTGAATGTTTTAGTTGTGGGGTTCTGTTAAATCCCAGGATGATAGACAACCATCTGGAAGCTTTTGGAAACTGGTCTTGCTGCATGGACCTAATCTCCATTGGGTCAGTGTTGATATGGTGCTAAATGAAATAAGAAGAATTTCAGTCCATAAGTCCATCACAGCAGCTACTATCTCTGATTACTCATTTGCTGCTACTTTTAACCACTGAAATTGAGCTTGCTGCTTCCTAAGTTAACTGGCTTTCCACTGACTACAGTAGAAGGTCATCAACTGCTCATCTGTCCTGCCTCTAATGATTTTTGTAATGCATTGCTGATCCCAGCTCAGGAGCTGCAGTCAAGACACAAATCCAGAGGAACTCAGGTTTCATTAATTTCAGTGATCTTACCACTACTTCTTTGCTTGCTGGTGGTTGTGTTTTGTTTTATTTTATTCCTCCAAGAAAATGTAGGAGCAGTAGGATATAAAAACCTAAGGGCTGTTTCAGAATCAAATAGGAACATTCATCTTAATAGCTTCATATTTTTGCAAAGATGATTGTTTGACTTCTGAACTCTCTCTTATTTAAGTCATCATGGATTTAAAAAAGGAAAAATATGTGTAGCCATGTGACAAAGCAAATGCATGAAAGGAAGATTTATTCAGTTTTCCGAAGATCAGCAGCAGTGAATCACCCTCTTGGCTGAGCTGGAGTGCAATATGGTCAACTGTTTCCCCCAGGGAAGAAGAAAAGATGAAAGTCCCACACTGCTGTAATGGCCATGCAGGAAGCAGTGACCTGTGCCAGGACAGCTCCAGCCAGTGCGCCAGGTACAAAGAAGTCTTCAGCCTTAAGCATCAGTGGTGTTGTTGTAAAAGCAATCTGAATGTAGCTTTTAGTGGTTCAGTGAAACACTTTAAAAACTTTAAAACAAGAGCACTCACCATACAGAGACTGAATAAACAAAAGCATATTTAGACAACTGTGTGCTATTCAGCACTTTACATCACGAGAAAAAGAGTCCCTCCTCTTTCAAGCCCCCGCACAAATCTGCCATAGATTTTTCAGGCTGATTTCAGAGATTTGTTGTTTTCAGTTAAAACAACATCAGTTACCAGATCTAGACGAGTTGAAAAGAGTTAGTGTCCTTTTTATACCCTGCCCCCCTCTTCCAGCTTTGAAATCTATGAAAGCAAAGCAAAATACATAATAAATGTTAGTGTTTGTTCCATTACTTGCTCAGGCAGTCAGTGTTTGGTAAGGATTTACTGATTTGTTGGAATTTTTGGCCCTTGGAATGATCAATAGGTTATACCTTATCTGAAAAACACCCACTGTAGTAATACCCAAAGCATCATAAAGCCGAGGAAAAACCCAGTGGCAGATATTACAAAGGACAATACCAATTTCTTTTAGGCTTATTTTTCTTAGATCATGCTCTGTTTTTAAGCCTTTAAAGCAGTTATTTATATCTTTCTTATTCTTACCGATTCCATAGTGAATCTCTTGAAGAAAAACTTGAAAGCCTGGAAGCTGAAGATCTCATGTCTCATCTGTCACAACCAGAAACCTACCTAGATGAGGAGAAAAGATCAAGTAAGTAAAACTGACCAAAGTTATGGGACTAAGAAGATCACTTAGTCAGTTTGAAACAATGTCTGTTAATTCTTCAGTGATAACAATTTACCGTACATTATTTGATTACTGCATTTGATATCGTGAATGTCATTGTGGTAAACAGATCCATCAGAAATCACCTGAAAAATAATACCTTGTTGAAAATTGCCACAGGAGAATTTCGTTCAGCTGACTGGGAAAACTCTGTCTAACTGAATGTGGCAACTACTCAGTCAGCTGCACTGAGTGCAGAACTGGAAACATTGCCTGTCCAAGTTGTCTGACACTTCAGAAGACCCAGTTTTCAGATACAACTTCAGTCTAACCATTCAGGCTGAAAATTTCCATGTCAGGTGTGTGCACCAGACTGATTCTTTTTGGAAGATGGAGATAAGATTTGAAGGATCAAGAGCCTGGGAGCAAGAAGTGGCCTGATAGGGAAGAATCCTGCCTGTAGGAGAGGGGAGGAGGGTGTGGGGAGACAGTCATCCAGGACATGGGCAAGTGAAATCACAGTTTTTCATCAGACTCCTCCACTATTATGTTTCATACTGTTTCCAGTTTATGACTTGTGTTTCTGTGGGGGAAGGGTTAGGGTTAGAGATGCTGAAGAGCCTCTGAAGGAGGTGAGTAGGACTGGGTCATACATTTCACTTTGCAATCTGCTGGGCTGATCTCCATAGTAGGTCCAAAGGGATGACGTGGAAAAAATTTGGGGTCAAATATTGGTGCTGGGTAGGAGAAGACTACCCAGAAGCTGTTGCCTTGTAAGATGAGGTGGTAAAGCAAGGAGACTGGGACAATCACATGAGATGGAGACGTGGACCAGGCAGGCTGGTAGAAAGGGAGACAGAACTAGGACCCACAGGGGTGACACTGGGACCAAAAAGAGGGGTGAAGGCAGTCGGGCAGTGCGAGGGAGGCTGCCACCAGATCACACCCTTTGCTTAGCCAGTCTGCCTATTTCCATTTGAGTGTGCCATTTGATTCCATAAGGAAAAGCACATCTCCTCCATGACTCTTTTTTTTTTTTAAATCTTCTGTGTAAGAGAAGTCTTGTTACTTCTCTTGACCTATTTCCCCAGAGACTGCTGTAGTTTGTTTATGGATTTTGTCCTGCTTGTTTTATGTTTCCAAATATGTCATGTGGGCCTGGAGGTTTGCCAACCCTTAACATTTAAAATAACATAGAGTAATCCCTGTCTCCAAGACACATGGGATTCAATAAAACATTGCAACATAGAAGGTTTTGGATGGGATGTTACTGTATCTCTTTTCCCTTACTGAGCCTTTAGGGTACTTTCAAGTATGTTGTGGAGAGCTCTTTTGCCATTACCAGGGCTTAACCAGCAGATGCAGACTTTTACATACTGGCTGGAAGGTATCTGAAATTCTACCAGCTTGGCAGCATGGGGGAAGAAATGGTTATGGGCTTTGTCCATAAGGAAGAGGTGTGTCCTTTGATATGAAGGTAAGGGTGTAAGAGGAGAATTATCTACTTTGAACCAAGAATATTATGCTTGAATATTATGTTACCTGCAGGAAGAAGGTGTTAGAAGATCTGGTCATTGCACTGTTTTTTTGTGGACTGGGAAAGACCTCCACCAGCAGACAACCAAATACCACTCTCTTATAGCAAAACCACAGCCACTGGCATCCTGGATCTGACTCAAACCACAATGACATGTCTGCTTGTTGTTTAACTTTACAGCACATCTGTTCCTTTTAATGGTATTATCCATCTCCTTGGGCAAAACAGTCACCTTCATCATCATAGGTGTATGCGTTCAAGTCAAAGCAAAAAGACAAGAATCTATAATGGCTCATTGCTTTCTAAATGAAATGCTGAGCTCAGTGCACAAGTAACTATGATTTACATTAAATTACGTTTTGACTTGATGGTAATTTATTTTTCATAATTCCAGAAAGTCACAGAATCTCCTTACTTCTGCTATAATAAGCCACTGAATGTTACTTAGTCATTTGCTGTATACAGCAAAGGAGTTACCAGCATTTGTGCTTACATCTCAGTGGTTCAGGATGATTATGTTCCCTTTTTAGGTCTCCTACACTGGGCCTCTCAGTACTACAGCAACTAAAAAATAAAATGAAATATGAAAGAAATGCAGAAAAATATTTATAAAGAAATCAAGTTGGTTGAAGTTAGCAGGACTGAAGTTAACAACACTGAGAAGGAAACATGTAGATTTCCTAGAGAGAAGAAAGGTAGCCCTGTGAGGAATATGCCTATGTGAGTTCAACTCCCTGACTTGGTGAATTTGGAGAAGTTATTAGGGCACCATTCAGATGGCAGGTTCCTCAGGCCTCATGCCCATGTGAGTGTTTTGTCCGGGTAAAATTCTTTTGACGATAAATACAGCTTTTATGAAACTCTCAACCAAGGACAGTAATAGAATTCAGGCTGTGTGAAGATGGCATCTTGACTCTCTTTCACACACACACAGTCCCCCCAGAAAAACCTGAAAGAAAAACAGTACTTCCCAACTGTCCAGGGCAATGTGAGGGCAACACTATCAGATTTATGTAGAGTCCTTATATATGACAGTATGTGAGTTGGAGCAGGGAGTGAAAAGGAGATGTAAATCCCAGAATAGATAGAGGACAATCAAAACCTAGAAATATGATTGCTTTTTAGCTAGGGACACCTGCACCCAAAGAGAGAAAGACTAGTTGAAGCTTAAGTAAGGTCTAACTGAGAAGAGGGTGACATTAATGACAGCTGGGGGGCAATTCAATAAAATACAATGCGTACATACAGTACAATAATGCAGTAGCAGATTCTATTAGTCCTCAGATGAGGAAAGCATTTGTTGTTGTGCCTGATTATAAATATGTGCAATCATATCAAATTTTACAATCTTAAGTGCTTGAATAATCCTAGCTCTTAACTAGTAAGTATAATAAGTTGAATTCCTATATTTTTAAGCTTTTAGAACTCATTAAATAGTGTGGAAAGCCTATTTAGAGGGAATATAAAAATTGTCAATATATTAAATAACAGTCAAGAAGAAAATCCCATGCAGAGATTTTTCAGATGAGGGGAAAAGATCAGGAAATATTTTCATACTCTTTAATTCCCTGCATTTGATATTGCTTAAACTCTATGATTTCATGCATAAGTCATTTCATTACCTATTTTGGTTTGTTTTGTAGGATTATTTTTTCTTTTTTCATAATAGAATACACAACCTGAACAGCAACAATATACATATCTAATTTGCATGTCTAATGAAGATTTCAGGACAAACATTGAACAGCCAGTTTCCATCTATGCCTGAGCTGGAGTTAACCTAACCCGAAAACCTCAGACAACCAAAAGTTAATATTGTTTCTACAGTCCTTGATGTAACAATAATAGTAGTTGTACACCACCATGATGAAAATCAACTCCCTTTATGTCCAAACAATAGCATGAATCACAGAATTCTGACCTTGATACACAAATGCGATCATGTAGTAATTACAGCTCTTGCGCTTTCTGTATAAACAGACTACTTCATCTGGAAATGCTGTAGGGTACTGCTTCATTCTGCAACTGACAACTAATGACTGAGCAGAAAGCTTTTATATCCCCAGAAGTTTTAAAATAAAGCAGGTAGAAAAAAAATCTTATTTCCTGCAAATATACTCTGTTGAAAAGCATACCTTATAAATGTAAAGATTGTCTTCAAAATCACGTTTTGCAAGGCTATTCAATCTGTTTTCAGGGCAAAATACAGAATTAAATTATTTAGTCCATGTGATAACTGGCATGTTCTTGAACAACTGTGAGATTAAGGAAAATGTCTTTCATTTCATGCCAAAATCTGCTTGTTCTGTTTGTGTCTATGTTGGTATCATCCAAACAGGATGTGACAAACATACACTCTTTGGCTTCACTCTAATCCACAATTTGGATAACATTGTTAGGATGTGGTCTAACAAACTTCAGTGAAGCAAATCCGAGGATATTTGTCTGTGGACAAGTCACTTCAGACTTGATTTTAGTATGTCCTAAGCAAAAGAATCTCTGGTCTGACCTTGTGCATCAGCTGTTTGTGCTTCCATAAAAATACACAATCGAAATACTGACATGCCTATAGGCACGATGTGAATCCTGAAAGGAGTAATGGAAAAGTCATCTCTGAATTGTACTAACTCAGCATAGAGCCCAGGAGTGACCCTGAAGAGCTGACTGACATCCTCTTGATGATGCGTCCCTATTTATAATGGTTCCTGAGAAATGTCAAGTGCTCAATGTTTAATCTATTAAATAATTACAGCGATGACTTTAGATAACTCTTAATCAAAATTCTGTTTGGTGCCAGAAGTTCTACCAAAGATTCTGAGTATTACATCAACAGTATTTGAAATTAAATGTGTTTTCCTTAATTCCGTCCTGACTAGCATGAATTGCATATCTTTCCTGTGATTCTTTATGAATAGTGCCTGGAATTTGCCATTGCGGTGTTTTACACTGGATTGATGTCAGGCTGAGAAGGATATCAATCCTCGGGTCATTCCACTGAACTTTTAAATATATTGGCAAAGTATGAGCTTTAATGCATTCATCTTGAAATACCCACATGTTTCGATATGTACAGAAGATCAACTTAAAAATTCAGATAGTTTCTTGAACAGTATCCTTAGAAATAATAATTAGTTAAAAAAAAAATCTAGTTTTAGGACATGGCATTGCTCTTAGAATGGAAATTAGTTCCCCACCCTCAGCTGATATGTTCATCATATGATTATATAATTATCATAGTAGGATACATGGACTGTGCAAGTGCTATAGAATAGTTGCACTTGACAGCTTAGATGTGGCTTAGGAATTCATGCTGCAAAACACAATAACTCTAAGACTCAACACTTTTATAATATATCACCACTGTACAATGGTACAACATATTGCTATAGAGGACCTGAGGGCTTTAGTGTACTTGTTTAGTAATTTTCTGCTGTCTCATTCAAAGGTGAATT